GCCCCATCCGACATTTTCGCAAAGGAAAAAGTTGTTTCAAATCACCTGTATACTAATAAATAGAAACGATTACTGGAATTTTTCCAGAATAAAAGTATATTTGGCCATATAAATCATGTTAGGAGGAATTATATCTACTAGTTACATAATTAAATTTAGATTTATATTTATATTTAACATTCTCGCAGCGCCATCCGTGATACTAATTCAGTAACGCAAATATAAATAAAGAAAATTAGAATATGTGAAAACTACAGTATCGATATTTTTAGATTTTTATTTACGTCATCTAGCGATCAAAATTTGTAATTATTTCACAACAAACTTGAGTGTTTTGCCACGGATGGCGCTGCGAGTATGTGTAAAATTAATTAAAATTTGATATGCCAAATAAGGCTGTATGTATTCTATTCCTTAGCCAATTAACGTATTAACTAACTACTAGTTAAAATTTGAATAAAAACAGGATAAATTATGCTAATAACGGCAATGTCGGTATCCGAATATTGGTAATGCCATCTAGCGTTTAAAATTTAGAACTATTTTACGATGAACTTGGGCATTTTGCCACGGATGGCGCCAGTAGTCTAATTAGTGATAAAGTGGGGTACTGTAATGCTATTCACTTGACTATACTTCATCAAGGAGCTGTGTTGACAGTTTGCATAATGCTTAATAAATAATGAAATAAAAGTATTAGTTTTTTTGTTGGTATACACTTGTATAAATCTCTTTTACACCATGGCTATGTTTGAAACGTTAAGAAAAGAATATAGTGTAAGGATCGTGTTTATAAGTTCGTACGATGATCACGGTGAGGTTATAAAATTTATATTTTCAACGTTATTCTGTTTTCTTCGTAGGATTACTTGCAACAATGTTTCAAAGTCCCAGACATACAGACATTTCAAAAGAAATGTACAGAACGATGTGCAAATGACAGTGATAGAAAAGCTGCAGTCGATCAGGCGTTAAGAGATACTCTCTTAGTAATTTTATCCGAGCAAGTGGACACCAATGTTCAGTTACTTGAGACGTATATTACATTCTGCATCGAGCTATGCAGAAAAGACTTAGCAACAGCCAGTATGCCAGTTATGTTGCTCGGTGACATATTCGATTCTATGACACTTGATAGATGTGAACAACTCTTCACATTTGTTGAAAATAATGTTGTTGTGTGGAAAGAAGATCTATTCTTCAGTGCTTGTAAAAATAATTTGCTAAGGATGTGCAATGACCTGCTTAGACGATTATCTAGATCGCAGCAGACTGTATTCTGTGGCAGAATTCTATTATTCTTGGCCAAGTTTTTCCCTTTCTCAGAACGATCTGGTCTTAATATTGTCAGTGAGTTTAATTTGGAAAATTATACTGAGTTTGGTTCTGAAAAATCAGAGGGAGATGTGTTGGAACAAATAAATAAAGATGAAGATAAATCAGAGACCAAAGTACCAATTGATTATAATTTATATAGAAAGTTTTGGGCACTACAAGATTTCTTTAGAAATCCAAATCAATGTTATCACAAAATGCATTGGAAAGTGTTTTCAGCGGTTAGTTCAAATTATTTCAATTAGTGATATTTGTTTAAATCTGTGCTTAGAAAAAGATTGGAAACTTTTAATTTTTTGTTTATATTTACTCCAGCATGCATCTAGTGTTTTATCAGCATTTTCGTCTTTCAAATTGGAAGAACAACGCAGTTATCCTGCGGCTACTGTTAAACTTGATTCTTCGATGGAAGGTTCTCATAAGGAAACCCCTTATTTTGCAAAATATCTAACAAATCAGAAATTATTGGAACTACAGCTGTCTGATTCAAATTTTAGGAGATATGTATTGCTGCAATTTCTCATTCTCTTCCAGTATCTTAATAGCACTGTTAAATTTAAAGCGTAAGTATCTGCATTATGTGTACGCATCCTTTGAACACTCGTACTTTATTACAATTGAATTCACAATTCCTCTTTGTAGAATTGCACATTTTTTATAAATTTCATAGTAAAATGACTTTTGAAAGCTATAAAATGATGTTTGTTTTTCAAAGCTTCCTTGCCAGTGGCTATGAGACAAGGTCTGCTTTCCTTAAATAGTGGTTTGAGTTGTTTATGTCACAGAGTCTCAATAACTTCTGCAATTTTTTAAGTGAAACACATGAGCTGAAGCCTGACCAAGTAGATTGGGTGAAAGGAACCACAGATCAAGTTTACGGGTTACTGATAGAGACGCCTCCCGATGGTCCGACTTTCGCTGATACTGTCAAAAATATATTGAAACGCGAAGAGCATTGGAATGCATGGAAAAACGAAGGTTGTCCGCCATTTAAAAAGCCAGCTTCGGAGGCTAATATTGATATAGATGAATTGAGGAAACCGAAACGACCGAGACGTAGAATTGGAGATGTTATCAGAGATGCTCAAGCAGTAGGAAAATATCACATGGGAAAGTAAGTAATCCTTGTTTTATAAAAAAAAAAAGTAAAAATATTTATTTTTTTTATTATATGAATAACTAAATTTAATTACTTTGCAGTCCAGAACTTACAAAGTTATGGAATCTATGTCCTAATAATCTTGAAGCATGTAAATCCAAAGACAGAGATTTCCTTCCATCTTTAGAAACATACTTTGAAGAAGCCATTATGCAGTTAGATCCTAATGCAATGGTCGAGGACGAATATAAGTACGCGTATTTTTTTGTTTGTCTTTTTTGTGATATTTTAAAAGCTCAACTTCGTTTCTATGTAACATAGGAAAGTAAATGATGGAAACTTTGGTTGGAGAGCTTTGAGGTTATTAGCTAGACGCAGCCCCCACTTTTTCGTTCATGGGAATTATCCTATCAATAAACTTCCCGAGTACCTTGAAACGATGATTAAAAAAATTGCAAAAGATCGCCCAGTAAGCATAATGCTTTTATTCAGTTAATATTTAACATTTCTGTTGTTTACATTTAAAAATCAATTGTTCATTATCATCGAAGCAAACACAGTCCGATACAAAATTGGAGACCGGCGAAACGCCACCATCGGAAACGAACGATCAAGAATTCAATGAAGATGTGTTAAAACAAGAGAGCGAACAAGTTGAACCCGAAAATACAGATACTAAGGGGCGAAAACTAACGAAGGTTACTCCCGAAATGGTGGCGAAATTATCAGATATTTTAAAGAACGATTGGAAGAAATTAGCAACTAAATTTGGTTACACAAATGAGGAGGTATTCGAAGTAGTAGAAAGAAGAAAATTTCGAAAGAAAGACTATATAATATCATCTTTTTTAGATCACGTTTTTCCAAGGGAAACCTACACCGTACGAACAATGTAAAAATATGTTGGAGATTTGGGCAGAAGAAGATGTGGATGCGTCCATGGAGAATTTAGCATATATTTTAGAAGGTTTAAAGTTCACGGAAGCGTTGGCTATTTTAAAATCATAAATGTATTTTTAAAAATCGTCTATGCAGCAATTAACTTTAAGATGTGAATATTACTATGTGAATTAATAATAAACTTTTTCAATTTTCCTAATGATGTATTTATTATACCAATCCTTGATCATCGGTGATTTTAGTTTGATGGGAATACAGATTTACATAAGGGTTAAATGAGATTCAAGAGTCCAGTAGATGCACTTTTCGTCTTTTATTTAGAAAGACAATAATAAAGTGTACAAATAATACAAAATTTCGAAATAAAACGGTCCTTGGTGCAAACTATATCGAAGGATGGTTTCACATAGGGATGCCAAGATCTACTTACGACATCAAGGGAATCATTCGGTACGAAATATTCGCCACCAAGCATGCTGACAACCTAAAGATATACAGAGTGTTTCATATAAAGTATCAGAAGCTGTTTTCTTATAAACTAATCGATTTCATTTTTATTAAACAGTTAAATAAAACAGGGGGAGGAGAGGGGGAGAAGAATTCTTGGGGTGACTTTTAAAACGAAAAAAGAGAGGGTCTTAATTATTTCTGAATGGTAGATTGTATTCATTTTTTGTTTCTTGGGTAGCTCTTGCAATTTTTTAAAAATTATGCTTAATTACAGAATTATGGCAACAAATGCTAAAGGAAAACTTAAGAAAAGGGTCTTCATCAGTTTTCGTGGAAACAGCTTATAACACCTTACGTTGAACACTTCTGTAGATCGAACATGTCTCTGTACTTAATTGTAATAAATTAGATTAATGTTAATGGTATCGTATCTTTGAATTATAGACACTGACTTAGATTCGATTTATGCTCGATGTAAAAGCAAATGTACAGTGAGTCACGAAGGTACTCGAACGCTCTTAAACGAGAAGGTTTGACTCTTAAAGAATAATGATGTTACGAATTGCAAAACAATTTTATTCCTGTAGTGACACAAATACCACGAAATATTATAACTCTACATTTTTGTAAAAACTATATTATTAGCTTGATCGTTTGAATACTTTTGCGACGGTTTGGTCGATGTTACCAACAAATTCATAACTATTGCTTACTTTATCGGAGACACTTAAGAATCATTTCAATTTTCGAATTCGCAATATAACTAAAATCTTTCATTTGGGAGAATTGGAGTACTTTCGTGGTTCATCGTATAACGACGATTAGACCGCGACAGCTCGCAGTGCGGTAACGTTTCTGAACGAACTATAAGTTATAAAATATTGCTACGTATACGCTGGTAGTCTCGAAAGCTTTATCAACTGCCGCAACTGTTAGGCCAATCTCTAACGATCCGTTCTTGCGTTGTGTCTCGCGTTTCCTCGAACTGCAACAAACCCGTTCGTCGGTGAAACGCGCGCGTTCCTGACGACATCATACACGGAGCATAAATCTGGATTCCAGATTTCGTGAAACTTAAATGGTCTTGTCGGAATCCACGTTGATCAACTTGTTTCTTACATCTAACATACACACTCATATTGTATTGGGTAAAGTGTAAATGCAATTCGATCGCGAATATGATCTTCGTTTTTATTTTAGGTCGTAGGGCAGCTGTTAGTTTTAAGTATTCATTTTTTTTTTTCTTTTGATCATTTTCATCGCTTAACCGTAAAATTAAGACTCGGTTACGGAGGGGGCATTCTCGAAGGGGGCGCCTTTAAGAAACTCCTTTGTTTTTTTCTTTTTTTATAGTAGCGATCTAAGTACTGGACGTTTATCGTGATGCGGGGATCTCTTAACGACCTCGAGTTCGCGTTGTTTTGCCGATGGAATCCGATTTCGAATCGAATTTCCTTGGCCAGTCGATAGCGACGGATCAAAGGTACGGGCAATCGATATGACACACTGATGAACGATGTCTAGACGATCAGTCTTATTTCTTAAAAAGAGAACGGAAATTCGCGTAAAGCGCTGACTAATGACTCGCGATATGGGGTTTTATTACCTTCGGAGTTAGGGATAGATTTCACCGTTTCGGAAACAGAGATGGAGGGGGGGGGGGGATTCACCGCTTGATAGACTTGGGGGATGGGCGAAATTTTATTCTATGAACAAATGACGAATATAAATACTGTATCGTGATCTATTAATGCTTTCACTCGTGTCACGTGAAGTGTAATTTCATTGTATAATTTAGATTGCAATTTTTACCTAACAAACAAAAGTCACAAAGTCGTTCACTTTTTCATAAACAATTATTACATTGATCACTCGTTGAAATTGGATAATACTCGTTAAACTATTCCCTGCTCGTCGATATCGTCAAGCAAATGAAATTTTTAGCCTTTGTTTCGCTCGAAGACATCAACGTAATGCAACCTTCCTCTAATCTTCCATAACTTTTACTCGAAAATGTCCAGATAAAAATTTAGCCCATCTTAGTCGACGATGTTTTACCAAACGGTGACGATGAACGGACACATCTCGATTTCTATGCATACAACGACCAGCAAACTGTCTTCTTTTGCTCATTGTTTCAGCGTGTCCTGGCGTGGTTAGTTGTTCATCAGTGCGTCCAAGTACTCCTTGTAATCGTTCTCCGACATTTCCTCCGCCTCCTCCGCGACTTCGACGCTTCTCCTCCTTCTTGTGGTCTCGCTGGTCACTTCTATGCAAAGCAAAGCGAACTTGTTGTCGCAGGAATAACGAACTTGTTCCAAGAGGCGTCCCCCTGTTAAGGGCGATCCTAATCCGTAACGATCAGAACTGCTCGAGTGCCAGGCATCGCAGTACGTGTCCATTGCGCGGTCTCCTAATTTGTGCGAGCCGTGCCACGCTACCTTTTCTGGCCTGAAAACGACGGAAAGTCACGCGTTGAAGTTTCAAAAATGAACCGAACATCTCTGAACTACAAGATGCGAATTTTACAGCTGAATAGAACGCATTAGGAACGACAAAGAATTTATGGTGAAAATTAATCGTTCATTGAGATATTCAAATATTTACTCGATCAATTATATAGAAGTGAGTAGTTGTTTTTTTTTTTTTATTTGACAATCGAATAATTACCATGCAAAATCACTGAGGATGTTCTTTCCGTTGAAACTGTAAATTCTAGGATTCTGCGAGAAGTACGCCCCGTTTCCGTTGAACATCTCCTTCCAAGAGTTGAAGAGGACGTCACCCTAGGTGGTCGGAAAAAGGATATACTTGAAAGAAATATCCGAAGAAGAATTTCTTTAAAATATATGTAAGGAAAAATCCCACATTCCAGGAACTGGATTATCAAGTTCTTGAAATATGCGGAGGGTACTTCGATACTCTTCTTTTCTTTTTGCTGGCCAAGTTTGGCCTACAAGAGTTGCTTCAACCCTTGAAGTTCGAGCTGTTTTCCTTTTTTAATTAATTCTTCGCAAATGGTGAGGGGTATGGAACAGTTTACAGAGAAAAATTAGTTTTTTCAACCAGCCTTTATTAAATTATTTATTTATGCGACTAAAAAGATAACTAGGAATATATTTTCCCGCTTTTGCCTATGCATCTTCTACAGGCGCAAAAGTGAATAAGAACTCTCGATAGAAAAATGAATCTGTTGAAAAGGAGTAATTTTTCTAAATCAAAAGAAAATAGCTCAATCTTCGAGGGTTGAAATTTCACTCGTTTGAAGTGAATTTAGACAGCAAGGAAACAGTGTATTATCGATCGATGTGTATATTTCCACAGACTGGTAATTTATTGAATTCCAAAGTTTGGAATTCATTTTTGCTAAAGGGAAACTGGAATGCGAATTCTTTGTGAATCGACGTTTTGTGAATCACCTTTATGTTGACGATAGGGAGGTCCCTGTCCCCGAGTCTCACAATGCTGTCGACATTCTGCACTCTGGAGCTGAGGAATGCACGGAACGTACCCCTCAAACCGGCTCGCTTTGCTTCTCGATAACAGGCATAGTCAGCTCCTCGTACGCCGTGCATGTCCCCAGTAAAAGGTTCATTCAGGGCAGCCATTCGCAACTGCAAAGTTAGAATATTATTTTTCTACTCCTGAAGAAACTAATACCCATTTGAAACATCCAAATGAAACAATGATATGTGCTTTTACTGGGAATGAAATGATGTTCGAGAGGGGTCCCGAATGACCCGTAAAAAAATTCACTGAAACTGAAACAAAGAGTCTAAAAGTGTTAATATTCGCGCATGATAGAATTACATTGAAATGGTTAAGTGCGTTCATGTCTTACCATTCGCGGATACCACTTCGCAGCAGAAAGGAAATTCAGTTTGAATTAGGTAATACATCGGTCAGGTTCTTGTGAATAATATTTCAACACTAGACAGAATTAATATGGCGACTCACCCCTGTTCCATCTGCTTTCACGGGTATCTGGTTGATCAGGTTGGAAGCCTCGAAAGGTGGATTTGCTGGAGGCGGAGACGTGGTCGGCGGTGCTGGAGTAGTTATTGGTAAAAGAGATCCCAACTGGAAAATGCACGATAAATATATCTAATTAAATCGGTTCCTCTATAACGCTAATTGTTTAGTCAGCTGGAAAGCACTGTTGATTCGACACACATTATTGGACGAAATATGCTGCTCGAAATAATTACTAAGTACGCTTTTCGATAGTTTAGGAATATTTACGTTACATTAATATATTTATATCATATTAATTTACTTTATTTAAATCGTAGTGATTCTATATTGGGAATAAAGGAAATAATTTCTGTTCCCAAACGTTAAAAAGAAACGAACAGATACTATTTTATAATAACGCGTGTGTAATTAGTAAATTAATTTAATCCGATGTTCAGAGACCATTGGAGCTAGTGTTAGATATCATTATTAGCTCGGGAGGATCAATTAATAAATGGCAGGTTCGAGCTTTCAAAGTACTGGGTCCTTTGTAAGCTGTTTTAATTACTTAAGCTATACGAAGGGCGAATCACTGTAGCTTAGTATCTCAAATAACTCTTCTATTTCTGATATCGCAGAAAATTGGCACATAGAGTACTTGAGAGCAATCTCTTATACGTCATGTAATATTCAGCGATTTTAATGAAATTTTATATTTTTTATATAGAAGTCAATTTCTATTACTATTCTATAAGAACTATTAACTTAATAGTTTTACTCTCGAGATTCCTTACCACATCGAATATTTACGAAAAATTAATTCATTATGAAAAAGAAGCGAACATTTGTATCTCCTTTACTTTTCCGCTTATTAAAAAATCATTAGTATTAAATAATCACTATTGCGTAGCCCCAAAATTAACTGAGTTCGGATAGTCTGTCTTCAAATGTAAAAAATGTTGACATTTTTGAAATATCAAAGGTTTCTGCTAATGCCTATTTACCAAAAGAGAAAGTTCATTTTCAGTAATGTTCGTGCAAACAAGTTCTATGGCAAGGTCCTCGCTAATTTTGCAGTCAGCTGCTGACCTTTCATAGCCAGGAACTTAGGTTCTCGGAACCAAAGCTTTCCAGGTTAATCCTGTTTCGTCAGCATTAAGTACATTGTGCATTGCGCAGTCTTCTTCAATTAGAAATTTATTGAAACTCTCTTTGAACCTTCCTGCAGCGGTTTTCCTCGTTGGAAGCTTTTATCTACTCCTCGTGCATGCCCTCGGCGTATTTTAAATTTAAATAATTTAACGTTTTCTTGATTAAAATTGAAAAATTTTAAATTTAGATAACCAGGCATTACCTGATTTCCATTCATCTCTTTATCGAATTCAACAGCCTTTTCTAGAAAGTCGCGATATTCCCTTTTTTTGCATGTAAAAGGCACGATTGGCTAACGTTTCAGTGTTTGGTAGTATTAAACTCTGCCAGTGTAAGCATTTTAACTTGCAAGTATATTTCAATGACACTTTCCAGTGTTTTTTATTTATTTCGGCAATATCAAAAATAAAGGAGCTACATTGACTCACCCTGTGCAACACACAGAGATGGGCTAACTTTTATAAACAAAAAAATAAAATATAGTCTAAAAAAAGTTGAATACTAGTTGAGAACAGATAGCAGTAATAACAGTCGAAAATAAATAAATGCGTGTAAGCTGTGAAACAGAGTATGTAATACCGCGTGTAAATAATAGTAAACGTATTTTATACTAACAGCGATGTATTGCCAGCCATTGTTCACCCTGACGAGCAGCGCTTGTTCATCTATGATGTACGCCAGTGTTCCAACAGGACTTACAGCGGACATCTAGGGGTTAACACGAATCAGTGAATTCTCGTGATACATGTATTCGAATTTTCGTGAAATATTGTTCGTCGGTGTCGTGAAAAATTTACTTTCGTCATGGCTTCCGTGTTTTGGAAGGTCACTGCTCCAGGTACGATCTTCGTCGTGGTCTCCACAGGACCCCTCGTTGCAACGGTCGCCGAACCTTGTGAACATTTGAATAAAATTGGCACGGGGATCGACGAAGTAACAATTGAACATTTCATTTACGAATGTACGTACACAAAGTTAGACCCGTTATTAAATGGAATTATTTACTATGTTTCATTTTAACGTAAATTACCTAAATGCTCTTTTAATTCTTTCAGCTGCTTCAGTTCACGAAGAGCCTTCAATTCGTCCAGACTAGTTCTGAGTCCTTGCAGCGGTAAGAAATACGTTTTTGTAATTGAACACATTTTTGTGCAACGAGTATTTTTCCCTTCTGAAATTTATATTTATATTCTACGAACTTTAGCTGCTTGTATTCAAATGTAAAATAAGAACTTATTGTCTGTAGAGTCTATAGTAGTCTACAGAATATTAGACGTTTATAATAGACGTTCGTAATTGATTTTTGTTAAAACACGTCACATTTAAACAGTAATTTAATAACGTTAAATATATTTGATTGTCTGTTACCTTGTCTGACTCCATAGTAGTCCCTCTCACCAAATATGTGGCTTCTGCTTAGTCCTGATTCTTCTTTTTGCCCACCTAGCATTCCTGGCGGTCCTGGAGGTCCTGGAGGTCCTGGAGGCCCTGGGACCGGAATATAGTTTCCTTGAGATGGTGGTCCAGGTGGTCCTGGAGGTCCTGGAGGCCCTCTTTGGCCGTCTCTTCCGGATTGGCCAGGTATTCCAGGGAAACCTTCGTCTCCCTTATCGCCTTTTATCTAAACGTGGTTTCGTATGATCATTCTCTTATTTTAAGTATAAACGTATAACTTTTTTTATACAGAGAGTGTATCGTTGACTTATATCGCACTACAGGCTCCAATTAAACGATGGATATGATGGAAATATTATTAATTCCAATTGTATTAAGAACACTACATCACACATTGTACCAGATACAATATCCGTTACTTGCTATTGCATTTCCAGTCATGAAACTAAATTAACGTCGATAATTATTTCTCCAATTTTCCGCATCGATAAATACGAACAGATACACTCGACGCATTGTGCTAGATGTAATATTCGCTATTTGCTATTACGTCTCCAAGCATGAAACTAAATTTTGGAATGACAATAGTTATGAATGTCGTTCCTGAAGAGAGACAACAACCCTGGCTGAATAGATTGTTCTACCGAATTTGCAGTTAGAAATAATTTATTCATAAGAAGTTATTTACTGTTTTTTTCTCATGGCTTCGGGACGCTACGCAATAAAATCTTACGTTCGCGAGGCTTTTAAACCAAAGTGCATTCGAGGGAGGGTGGTTGTCAGTTGTCACCCAGACGCCGCGGAAGTTCGACGAATTTCTGTTTGGGGCGTCGAATAAATCGGGGTCGTGGCTTCGTTGCCCGATAAAGATGGAAAAAAGAGTGGTGGGCGTGCGTCAAGCGCACACTTGCATTAATTCCCGTCACCCCCTCGCGTTCCGTTCCTTGCTTCGAGACCGTTGGGCAAACCAGGGGGAGGGTAATCTACGAGCACCGTTACAAGTTTCGCGAGGTTCGCCAAACGTAGCTCGCTTCGACTGAAAAATGTTCCGCCAGTTGGGATTTGCGCGACTTCCGCCGCAAACACTTTCATCTTCCACCTTGTGATTAAATAGTGTTGGGAATAAATAGTCAAATAAATATGGTGACATAAACAGAAATAGAGAAACTCAAACAAACACAGAAAATGTTGGACTTGATTGAAAGTACTGTATCTGCTATTGTAACTTTCTAATCAGTCGTTCTTTTTATTATTTCGTAGCTGAGGTTTGGAGAGGCTGATGATCGCCAATCGTTGGTCACCAATTTTTTGAAGCCTCAATTTCAGTTTTACCAGGACACGTGGATGGGGTTTTAAAATCGGAACTCGGTGCGTCCACGTATGGAGCCATGTTTGTGCAACAATTTTTTACACAAAACGACCCCTCCAGCGATCTGTAAAACTTTGCAACAGGGGATCGTAGATTACCCGTGTACATCTCCACTTTAAGCCGTCATTCGGTACACGGCAGGATAAAAATACGTTCATTAACCTTATTCGTTTCACGTTGGAATCTCTTCAATAGTCTCACGTTGCTCTTTGACTTTTTTTAAAATGTCAGTTTTGGGTAGACGTCATTTTAGATAAATAATCCTAACAAACGCCAATCAGACTTTCGTTGAACATTTTTGCTCGTACCTAACAAATTTTTGTTTCTCTCGATACAATATTATTACACGTATTTTATTATTATATCGCCTATAATTTTACTTTGTAATTCAGATGATTATCGAACAAACAACGAATCCAAGGTGACTATTTTTTAATTCGTCGAGAAATTCAATAATCTCTGATACCATGCCTCATAGTGAACAATAGCGTCGAGTATAGGGACTGTGAATCGTACTTACCCCGACGGAAACTCCGTAAGGACTCGGGGTTCCAGGTTCTCCTTTTTCTCCCTTGGGTCCTCCAGGTCCAACAGGTCCCGGTAGTCCAGGAATTCCAGGACGTCCCTGTTAGAAGTAGTTACCGATACGTAACATTCATGCTCCACCCTTCCGTCCATGAATATTCCATGCTCATTAACCCTTTAATTAATCTCGCTCGTAGTTCGGTCTACCATACACAACGCTCGATTACCGTGATTTCTAATTTTATGAACGCAATTATTACTGTATCGTTATCCGAAGCAATCAACCGATCGACGCGCGTCAACGTAACGAGGAAATTATGTACAGAGGAGATATTTAAAGATTGGTTATCGAACTGTTCGAGTGAACGTGCCATGTAATACTTACTTTCATACTGTTCTGTGCTCAGCATTGGAAAAAGAGTATCATAATTTTAGAATTGTCACTTTCACACGCAAGCGTGCAATTATTTATTTTAAAACAAACGCGAGGAGATGTGTTAATTAACGTCTGGTTTCGTCGTAGAAACATCGTGTTTCACTGATTAGTAATCAAATAATCAAATTAACAATCAACATTATTTCTGTTATATGGAACGCTGAAATGTTACGAATGGAACTTAAAAAGAATCATTTTTTTTTTACATGATTTGGAACTGTACGAAGTCAATAAAAAGCATAGAACGAACATCTCTTTTTCTAATACTAAATAGTAGATCATGTCAAAATAACTGTCGTTAGAATTAAAGTGGCAAATATAATATATACTGTGCATTGCTATTGACGTGAATAAAAATGTACTAACATTTCGAAACTCCTTATACACGTACAGGATGGTCCACTAGAAACAGGACATTTTACTAAACACTGGAAAAATTCCCTCGTAACGTTTCCAGTTTTTCTTTTTCTGGTTAGCAACTCCTTTCTCCTATTATTGAAAACAGCGAAGACACTCGGTTGTCCTGTTTCTAGCAAACACCCGTACAAAGGAAACCAGATGGAAAGCATACACGATAGGAGGATCGATCTATTGCATAGAAGAATAAAAGAAATTTGTTTCATACCACCCATCCAGGTAACCCAATCTCTCCCATAATTCCCGGCTTTCCAGGTGGTCCAGCGGGACCAGGTGGTCCTGGGCGTCCTCTTCTACCTCTCTTGCCCTCCATGCCCTTCTCGCCCTTGATGGTGATGTAGTCACCGGAGCTAGCTATAGCCGTGACTCCTGGCGGTCCTCTCTCGCCTTTATCGCCCTTTGAACCACTGATTCCTGGTGATCCAGCGTCGCCATCTTTACCTGGTTCGCCTTTGTTGCCTTGAGGTCCTTGAACGCCGTTCACACCAGGAATTCCGGCTGGTCCGGAGGGACCTTTATCTCCTTTCTCGCCTTTGGTGCCCTTATCTCCTTTATACCCGCGCGGACCCATCTCACCTCTATCGCCTTTCTCTCCCAATCCTGATTAAAACGTTCAATTAGATTGTTTAGAGTAGAGGAAATGCGGAGGAACAGTCGAGTGTTGAGTTACGTTGAAATTTGAAAATTAATTAGAAGGTATATTGCGAATTTATGAAATACAGAGGTCAGAGACAAAATGCCTCGAGATGAGCGAATAAAGCTGAATATCCTCCAATATATTATATTTAGGTACTAATAAAATTTAATACTATATTCAGTCACCTCTACGTTTGACTATTTTAGTATACCATATTCATCCTTGAAGTTACCTCTAAAAATAAGAAGAGAATCTTACCAGAGTCGCCAACGTTTATCACTCCAGGACCAGTCAATCCAGATAGGCCTGGAGGTCCAGGCGCTCCAGGAGGACCTGGCTTCCCTTCCGGTCCAGTGTCGCCTTTGTCACCCTTCTCAGCTGGTCTTCCATTTTCGCCTGGAGCGCCAGGTAGACCTGGCGAACCTGGAGCACCAGGTTCGCCCTTAAATCCTTGGTTTCCTCTTGGCCCTTCTTTTCCGTGGTCACCCTTGGCACCCTTGTGTCCTGGTTCACCCCTGGTTCCTTTGGAACCGGGTATTCCTGCCTCCCCTTTGAGTCCTGGACTCCCTGGAAGGCCTGCTTCGCCCTTCGGGCCTGGCAACCCTGGTCTCATAGTGATGCCTTCCGCCTAAAGCGACACAAATATATTATCGGACAAGTGATTGATTCAATTTAATTGTATAGGTTTATGTGCTCGTTAGTAGTCGCTATGTAATAATGCAATATTGAAAGAAGCTTTTATATCAACAATGGCCAAATTATGCGATCGCTACTCACCCTATAAATGCCCAGAGGTTTCCAACTGGGCTGCATGCGCATAATGGGGGAAATTTCTCTGTTTAATCATTGGTACAATGTCGTAAAGCTAAAAGCAGTCTGGTCGGCGTGCCACCTGCCCCTTTGAATCGTCTAATGACCACTGACGAACAATCGTCGTTCAAACAATCGACTATATTAAAGCGCGATACTCCGGAATGTTTAATCGAACTGTTCTTCTACACGCCAGTTTGCCTGTCCGTGAGTTTGCTTTCGCTAGTCCCGTTCGAAAATTAGCGAGACGTTAAAATTTTTCGATCATTGAAGGGCTGTAATCCTTCACGATATTAAACAAGGCGAATATCAATCTAAATAGAGAATGTCTTTTACTCGCAACAGTAAACAGGTGAAACAGTTCTGGCGCTTGATTCTCCTACAAACTTTCATTAAAATCCCCGCGTCACACCTCCGCGCGATTCCCACGCGAGCACGAAAATCGTCGATACGAGCTTCCAGCGTTCCCCGAACCGTTCTTTTTATCGAATTACCGTTAATTCGGTATCTCGCGGCTCTTCAATCACCCAGGAGCGCACTGGAAACGTCCGCGATAGAGCCGCTTTGGGAATAAAAGAGACGAAGGCTGAATGAAAGATGCCTACATTGAATGCCCGGCGTTCTGTCAATAGTCGAAGGAAGTCCGAAAGTTCTAAACCACTTGGCGGAAAAGCTTCTGAGAGGCCGGCATGACGTATAATGGAACGAATGCTGGCGTTGATAAATAGGCGTTCAGAGAGCGGTCGTGTGACGAAGGAAAAAAAGAAGAGGACGACTCGATTCGAGTGCGGTTACAGAAGCAGAGAACCGTGAACGCTCGAATAAACGAGTGTCCGTCGAAAAGAGCGATTCGAAACGTTCATCGACGAATAAACACGCGATGCCCATTGTCGATTGCCGCTTTTCCTATCTGGTTCGCTCTTTGTTGATCGTTCCACAGAGAAAGGGTGGTATTTGGCCCTCAGTTTTATGAATTGTAATTCAACTGGACTGCACACTTGCATTGAATACTAGAGCACTGTTGATGTTGGTGAAATGTAGATGAGGAAGAAAAATAATTGAATTGTATTTAAATTTGTAGGTCCTTAATAAGTACTTAATAGCTCATTGATAAGTCTTTAAAAAAGGATCCAAGAAAATCAAGAAAAAGTACATTCGTAAGAGGTGCGAGCAAGTACCCAGAGTTAAAAAATTTACCCAGTATCTTCGTTTGGCGTGAACTAATCGCCTCCTTGGACCACGAGCCGCCCTCAGGAAACAATAGATTGTACAGCGCGTTAAATTTAGTGGTCGTAAACACATGGGCTGAGCTTGTAATAGCTTTCCCTATTAAATTGTCACGTCTAATCCAGATTTCTCGTCCCGTTCCCTGCCTCCTGGCATACGGTCGTTGTCTCCGCGATAGTTGGTCGACTCGTGAAAACATCCCGAGCTTTCTCAGCGGATGTGGGTTTTCGCGCGGCGACGAGTCGTTCTCCTAAACAACTTCTGCCGCCGAGTCACCCACCTGACGTACCTAGTCGGCGCAGCCTAGAAATTGGTTTCTGTATTCTCGAGGGAAATCGGACGCCTGCACGTCGGAGCACGAACCAGCACCAGGTCACGTAAGATAACACTCGAGGTTGAAGCGGGATGCTTCCTCTACCGAGGATTCCTCGAGCCTTAGCAAGGTTCCAAGGCCACCCTGTGGGAGTGGACGCGCAAAGGCGAGTTGAACTCGAGCACTTCCTGTTTTTCGGACAATTTTACCGCGAGTGAGTTTCCTCTTGTTTCGGGTGGAAACGTTCGATTTTCGTCGCGGTCTTAGAAAGTTTGGAGTTTCGAGGGCACACCTTTGAAGTTGTAGGTAAACATTCGGAGGAAGTATGTGGACCTGGCCGTTAGAAGAGGGAAACTTTTGTGGTACGCGATGAACTCCACTGGTCGATATCGTCTGATCGTGACCTTTTGTAAAATAATTATTTATGTAATTGATTAATTTCATAACTTATAGAACGATCCAATTGCCTAACGGAAGTAATTTTAGAATTGCGAGAAAAAAGTCACAATTTCCTTGTCACGTCGCGTTCATCGATCCGCGACATTATAGCGATATCGCGTCGTTCCTAAACTCGTGTGTTCCACGCTTTTCTGCTTTGCTTATCCAGGTTTCATTTTCTGATAAGATGTAGCCCTGCACGAACCGCCAGGAGTCGAACAGGGCCGTTTCAATTTATTTTTTGCCCAGAATTCGACAACGCCAAGTCACGAGAGAATATGTGTCATCTTTTTTGTTAAAGTCACTCACGAATGCAGATGATCCTGCGCGAAGTATTATTCGCGTAGGGCTTTGCCGTGTCGAGAAATCTTTTACCATCTCGTGCGACATTGTGAGGGTATGTACGGTAGCGGTGTCGAGGCTTTAAGGCTTCAATATCTCTCTGCGAAACTTCCCACGTGTCGAGGGTGCCTTCTAGAGAGGACGCATATTGTTTTCATGCGAGATGTTAACGTTTTATATTGGCCTGTAAGCGCGACGTACACTTTTAAGATTAAACGAGCATTTTTTTATAACTACTTTTTTATTTTTTCGCTTAAAGATATTTAATTACGAAAATTTTTTTATTTCAAAACTCAATTATTCTCTGGATATTTGCTAGCGATTACGCGATAATACACGTATTTATTTATATATGAACCATAAAAATACTGTGGACTTTATAACAATTTTTATACAGCTATAAAAATACGTAGACATATTACGCAACTGCTAGCTGCGATGGTTACAAATGCTATAATAGACGTAAGAAGCGTATTGTGGTTGCGAAGAATTGGAGATAAAAATAATCGCAAAGTTCAGTCGTTAATATTAAAGTAAGTGAATGCGGTACATTAAAGAATTATCTACCGGGCCACGGAGTACTCTGAATTATGCACAGTTCAACTTCTGTAAGCATAATTCACCGTTGTTGCAGCACGTGATAAATTGGCTCCTAGAGTTCTTATTTTTTCCGTACTATTATTAACCGAAACGCGCGATAGTTAGATTATTACCGTAATAAATCTGGAGACTGTACGTGTATATCCCTCCACTCTGTCGTTTGAATTTCTGCGAAAAAGTGAAATCGGTAAGTGGAAAGTTTCTCGGTTTTATCGTGCTACCCAATCTCGCACTATCATTACATTTTATAGTTTGCTTAAAATACTTTTGTTTAATCGTTGATTTAAAATTTTAATTTTGAGACTTTTCTAATATCAATGTATTCTGAATACATAATAAATGTATTATGTGATATAAGACATCTTGTTAAGATTGAACTATGGAGAAGTGTCATACCGATCGTCGATTACGTTCCCAAGATTAATACACCAGGTTACGGAAATTCGTAAAAAATCATACACTTTGTTAGCTTTAATTTGTTTCCTTTTTGCTCCATTCTTTGCAGTGGCACGTTTCCAAATGTTGCGCCGCGAGAACGAAACGAGCGGCCTGACCTCGCCTGCTAATTGTTGAAACGTCGGAAGGTAGAGAGAGCTTTGTCCATTCCCAAGTACGTTAAAAGCACGGAAAAGTACGGAAAATCGTGGCACTTCCGGCGGGCAAGTACGATTTCAGCTATCGCGATAATAATTCCATTGAGTCGTCGAGATGCATTCTCGAATTCTTTGAAGAGCTGTTGAAGAGGGAATGCAATTTTGATAGTACTCAAAATAATGATAATTGAGCCGTTTATTGCACTTTATTCCTCAATTATTCCTCGACCCCACAATTTTCAGAATTTTATACAAAGCAATCCCAAACCGAATTTTTATAATATTCCAATGATATCCGAGTCTAGAGAATTTCGCGAGACAACTCGTACCGAACGCGTTCGAAACGCGATGCGCATTCCGCTCAGCGGAATACCAAAATGCGGCCCCCATTTTTCACCAACGGCATCAGCTACGTTTCGCACCCTATTTAATTTCCACAGCTAGCCCCGAACGAAAACGGGTCATCCGGCTCACGTTTGCCGATGTATCCACAGGTGCACCAACGTTAACACGGATACGCGGTTTTCTTGGAATTTTTTTAACCGTGGAGAAACAACAAGAAAAGGCGGAGCGTTACGGGTTACGGACGCCGCGGGAAAAGACGAGACTGGCAAAAAGGTGGATGAGGGGCGAACGGAGGGCTGGCAGAAAGGGGCTCGAAAGAATGGAACAGGAGGAAAGAGTTGGACATACAGCTCCCGCCTTTATTACGTGCACGGTTACTTATTCCCTGCGGGGCGATATCGCGTTCCATTTCCATTCAACGAATTTCTTGTCGTCGTCGTTCACCCCCGCTGAGACAACGAGGTGTGCCCGCAACCGACTTCCGTCGTAAAAAACTATATACGCGTCGGATGGCCAACGAGAAGTGGCGTTTCAAGATTTCTATTTACTGATTTTATTCCAAGCATCGACTCATTTTATCTCGATCTGAGAGTCAAACAAAATTCAAAGTATCGTTTCATATTCTAATGACAAATAACGATTCAACAATTTTTTGAGGTTTTCCCGATGAAAATTAATCCGAACACGACCATATTCGGAGTGCGGAGTTTAGTCGTGCATTGAAAGTCGCCCCAAAGTTTTATTTTGAGAGCAACGCAGATTTTGTGATTTTCTGGTAGTTATATTTAATTAACGAGACGTGGAAAAGGTCTTTCTCAAGAACATGGGTGCTTTGCGTGCAAGAGAATAAGGAACATTTCAGCGGCGACGCGAGAACGACAGAAATTAAGGTTACATAGCCGAGGGCTTAGTCCCTTCGGTGGTGGTTAATATTCTCGTCTGTTTAGGAGGCGCTTGGGCCAATGGTACACGATCGGGGTAGTTTATTGGACGTTGAATGCGTATACCTTTACGACCGGAGAAGGTTAAATGAGGGTGTAAATTTCGGTAGCATACTGGAAAGGATACGATATTGGTATTGCAGTTGAAGGGTTTTACTTACAAACGGGCAACCTCGACGAGGATGGCTTTCATTGAGAATAATTTCGACGTTTCTCGTAACAAGGGTCGATTGAATCAAAATTTAGAATCGAAATTGGTTTATTCCAGAACCTAATTAGGATTCAGTTCCTTGGAAACAGGTTGTTGGAAATGCTTTGTCAAATATTATTGCTATTGGAAATTTGTAGACTTTTAATTATTTCCGTATAGAATTATAGAGTAATACTAGTGTACACGATTATGTATTATCGTTATAAACTTTTCCAATAATTCAAGAGTTCGGAGACCGTCTTTCCAAGTTTACAACCGAATTTAATATTTCCTTCCTGCTTTATCGCGTTTTCGTCATAAATTCCTCTAAATTATTGCCACTAAACTGTCGATGACTTTTAACGATCCATTTTTGTTGAAGTTTTAATTGCATAGGCAAATAATAAAAGTTTAATTCGATACACGGTTATTTGTCAGGCAAACTGTGTGAATAATAATAGAATAGAATTTCTTTTTCCGACGAAATTAATTTCATTAATCTCAATCTGTTTGTTCATCAGTGGATTCCTAGTAAATATTAGACTCAGATGTTGTTCATTTTATCTCTTGCAAGGAAACGTGATCTTTTCGACCTACATATTAAGCAGGCTCTCTTCAGCAGAATAGATCATTAAAAAACGATGGAGTAGAATTAAGCGTGATATTTAAAAATTAGTATAAACATTACTACTCACATCGTAGCCAGTGAACTCGCCCTTTCCAGGGGGTCCAGGAGGTCCTTGCGCTCCCTTTTCCCCTGGAATTCCATCGCGACCAGGTTCCCCTTTCTGTCCTTGAGGACCTTCCGGTCCCTGCACTCCCACATCTCCTTTATCACCCTTAGCACCTTGCGGTCCTTCCAGTCCTCTCTCGCCAGGTGGACCTGCTGCTCCCTGTACAAATCATTTCAATCATGTATTTCCACGCTGACGAATAAAGCCACAAATGCAAGTTCACGCGAAGACAATACCCATAAAATTCGTGCAGTCGCTCGAAACTTGCCTGGCATTGTCATGAAATTCCAATCGTACGCTTATGCTTATACGTTTAAAAAGGTTCAGAGGAATTATTTTGGTTCGTTTGCGAAAACGTCGTTTATTTCACAGATCATATTTCAATAGTCTCCGTCACATCGTCGAACGTTTATCGGGAAGCGATTGGTTTTCTACAAAACGTCAATACCGTCAGCCCCATTTGGCCTTGCTTTCCTTCTTGACCTGGAAGTCCTTGCTCTCCTTTGGGTCCTTGGATCATCTTTGGCATCGTGAAGGATGCCATCAGCGCAGTTGCGTTGCAGGCGCACGTTCCGGGCTCTCCCTTCTTCCCTTGTGGACCCTGTAGCATTTTTATTGTTTTTATCTTTGATAATATAATCATTCGTGAATGCGTAAATGTAGTGGACTCTGATTATATCTTCGTGTTCATTCTTTTATATCCGACTTAAATCTAATTTAAATGCTTTAAAATTAAAAATATAACATATATTTTGTTGCCTTTATTTTTATACATATTCATCATTGAAAACCTTCGTAAGTGTTTAGGCATAATCTTGAATTTATTTTTGTTTAACATAGTCGTTACATTGCGAATACCACAGCTGTATTAAAAAATGTATAACGTTTCCTTCTCGCGTTTTTTTAAATATTTTATTTACATTCCACGTTAAATTAAGTATCTCAAGTTTCTTTTAGAAACCAACGTCGCTCGACAGTACCACATTAGTTTTTCCTTTCAATTGTGAATTATTTTTAAACGTCGCGACGTTCTCGTTGCACGAATGTATTAAGCGTTAAACAAATGCATTCGTGTCCGGGTCTGCATACCAATAATTTCGGAAGATACCGTGAGAGCGAGTTCCTGTGTAATCAATGTTACATGCAGCGGTTACCAGTACTTCAGCGCTCTGACTAAATTGGCTTGCTTGGGTAACAAGATAAATGAGTGATCCCGGATTGGAATGCATTCAAGCTCGTTTCGTATGCACAAACGCTACTGAATTATTATTGCTGAAATATGTGTCTACGTATACATATCTGGCATAGTGAACGATTCTTAGAACCGAAATCTGGCAACTGCTGACAAACTGCGGTGATTTAACCGTTTCTGTCTACGAGGAAAACGTATGGAATTCTGGAATTAATTTATCAAGTTAACGTTTGTGTAAGATGTACCATTGTAAAGTGACTTTGGCTGTAGGCTACAAATGAACAGTTCTAGATAGTTACTCAGTCAATCAAATATTTATATAATTATTTATTCATTTAGTCAACTACTTTACTCGCAATTTTAGATAACAAAAGTAAACGTATTATACATCGTCCGCCTTAATATATGCTCTTACTACTGAATTCAATCACTACTACTTCATGTATCGCAATAAACTGACACACATAATGGAACCTACAATTATCGTTTGTCAAGCAGGGTACAGTTTCAATACGTGCAATTACTATCCAATTCATGTTCTAGCAATAATTGTTCTAGCAATAATTCTATGGTACTTATTCGTTTAAAAGGCAGGAAGCGCAAGTATTTGGGTTAGAAGACATTCTTTCAGGGAACAATGCACTATTGCATAATCATAAGCGAAATCTGATACGAATGTGTTGTCCTGCAATATGCGCAATGCATTCAGTATGTCTTTATACGTGTGCTGATTACAGAACTATTGAAACTGGAGCTTCTGTGGTTCGTATAAGGATTGCTAATGGCGGGATATCTTCGGTACAATGATACCTGAATGCCGTGCGGCCATTTTTAATTTTTCCAGGGTGCTTCACAAGTTTTTTCATCTTTTTCTGGTATTATTTATCAACAACGTCTTTAAACAACATTATTCTATTCAAAGAGAAAAAAATTATAAATACAAAAAGATAGAACCTACGTGGTACAATATAAAAATAATACATATTTATATTATATTATTTTTTATTTTATTAGTCCGTATGAAAAACAATAATTATAATGAGCTTCGCTGTTCAACCAAATCAGGATCAGGAAAATATTATTACACGTTGGATTTATTTGTTAACTACATACTGCTGCAATGAAATTTTCTCTATTTTATACATTCGAGGTACACTCTTTCTCTTTCAATTATACAGATACAACTCGTCATGGTATTAAAGTCAGAGTTGTGCGTAACGTAATTCATAATCAGGGAAGTGTTCTTCGGTGGCTATTTGTTTCTGTTCTGACTATAGTTTTTGTAGAAAATAGACGTGTACGTGTACGTAGATCGTGTCCAGTTTAATTTGTTTATTGCACGCTCCTCAGAGAAACCACATTACTTACGGGCATGACTTAATAATACGCGTAATTCATTATACGTATATAACATAGTTTTTTATGTACACTTTGCATTAATTAGGCAAACACGAAAGCATTCTACGCGCATACCACTATTCGTACGGTTAGTTTCAGAGAAAGCAACTTGCAGTTGAATTCTAATTTTAGTTAACTTTTTACATCACGGCAAATGGAATTTGGTAACTAGCGTGTGAAGTGACTTGCACAATCAAAGATAATTTTCAACCTAATGTATTTTTCAATTGGATAGTTTTTAAATTTAAACACAAATTTTTAAAGATTTTAATAAACATCATATTATTTTTAATTTTTCACTTTTCACTCCAAACATGATACGAGATCAAGTTAAAAATTTAAAGAACCAGTTCAATTTGCATAATATTCCCTGCTTTATTTTCTTAAAATTATGTTTGCGTTTCAACTAATATTTGTTATTTATGCACGGTGTCCGTTTCATTTTTTAGAGATGCTTTCGAATTCGAATTTTTATTTTTTAAATGTTTTCGTAGAAGCTGTGCTATAAATAGTTGAAAAGGAAAAGAAAGGATTCATGTTTCCCATAGTGCTGTTATTAATATAAATATTTACCTCATCCTGTCCTGGAGGACCTGGAGGTCCTGGTGGTCCTCTGACACTCTCTCCTTTGTCTCCTTTATCACCTTTCTCGCCTTTCGGCCCTTTGTCTGAGAAATGCAGAAAGTTATTCAATTAAAATTCATAAATTCAAATAAAAAAATTAACATTCACCGGATCCGTTTCGTATACAAATCGAATTTTACAGAAACTCAATCAAGTGCGTATGTCCGAAGACGTCAGCGATGCTTCGAACAACTTCCGTCAAGATTACTTTCTTAAACTACAAAGTGAAAAAACGTACCACCCTTTTTACAATACTTTTTTACAATAAGTAAAAAAAAAAAAAAAAGAGAATATAAATCAGTGATGGGCAAAATTTCATTGGAATAACGAACCACGAATAAAAGCATCCTTCAGTGATCCATTCGTAGCATTTACTCGATCGCTTTAATAATTGTTCCTTATCGGTGTAGTCGCGATTAAATAAACCCGCGAATTCTTAGCGATTACTCACAGTCCGGATTGGGAGGAGGAGGTGTGATGAATGGCGGTGGATTGCTTTCCTCGCTTCTGTCTTCGTCATCGTCTCGTCCGATCTGAAAACGGATGGTAAAAAGGGACGGTGAATAAGAACACTAAACGTGATTTATATGTCGTTATACAGTAAAAAGAAAAGGAGGATAAAAGGAGAACGAACGACGTGGGAGTTTCATCGCTTATGGTTGTGATTGATTGCGCGTTGCGCCGCCGCGCGCCGGTGCGATTTATTTATCTTCGAAGAGCATCGAAATCATTCCATTTTTCAGAGATCCGCCATCGTATTCCCGTTTAATATAGCGTTATGTTCGAACACGCATATTCGACAGGGCTGAGTAAAATATTGTTTCGAATGGTACATAATAAATAGACCATTATACCAAATCATGCGTGCTATTGTGAGAATAATGCGGGTTATTTGTTGCGACAGCTATTTCAAATAGTACTTAAAAAATAGTATTTTATTTAACAGATACCGAGAGTAGCGTGGGGCTATATACTATAATATTTAATAAGATATGCTTTCGGTATTCATGCAAGGGAATAATTGGACCATTTATAATTGAACTATCGGTTTTTCAAGCCTTCTTTTTCCTTCTCGAAAAATGAATGATAACGTGTAGGTTGACGGTGATTAATGAAGTTTCGGTTAAATCAAGCGGAACGGTTAGCATATATTCGCTCTAAGTACTTTCCGATAATTATTAGTAATGGTGCGGATATATTGGGCTGAGCCACCAGCGGTGGTTATTTATCACCGATTTTTTGACAAATATGGAGCAATTTTTTTAATCGTACATCTATCCAGTTTGAATATTTGAAAACAGCTTAGGGAAGTATAACGAATTCTTTTCTTTTCATTTTATTTAACGCTGTATTATTAATTAATTCTCCAAGTGTGATGGACATCTGAACCGTCATCAAAGTAACAAGCATATAAGTAATCGTTAAATAAGAAGAAATTTATATAATTTTTATCCTATTTCCCCCTATTTCCATCTGAACTACAATATTCGATACAATAGCGATCAAATTTGATACGGAATGATTCCTAATACACGCGCATGAAGTAGCAGAATTTTATTAACACACCAGGGCACACGTGTCCCTGGTCGCTGCATTGATACTGGGCCACATGTGAAACTGGCGATCGCAATAACACGTAGGAGAGGAAAGACGAATACAACCGCAGGCTGTTCCGGTGAATTCGTTCACCCGGTATACGTACATCCTGATCAGCTCCAACATGCACGGCTGCGCCTTTGCATCCAACCGTACGTTCTGGAAGCTTTTCTCCGAAGTAGGATTTTACGGGTGAAATAAATTCCTGGGCTTTCCCTGAGTTAGCAGGGATACCAACTACGAACGAGTTTGCACGAACGGGCTCGGTTGACTCCGATACCATCGAGGAATCGGTGTCGGGAAGTTGGAAGAATGCATTAATTAATCATTCAAAAATCGAAGAATTCTTCACATAGAATTCACTAATGTAGAGCGTTATTTAAAAATAAGAAATCCCATTAATAAATAATTTTTTCTCCTTCTCAGTTTTTCATTGGAAAGTCGGCCAAATTGAATATTAAAATCATAAATTTATTGGTCCAAAGTTTATTTTAGAGAACAAAAAATTGAAACTTGATATTTAATGAATGATGAGCATCAGCTGGGTATATTTTAGATACTCCTAAACGAAGTTTCTTTTAAGAGAACTTTAGAAAAAACTTGGTAAACTTAGCAAGTTTGAAATATAAATTGTGTCTTAGGATATGCAATGGGGTACTGAGCATCCAGAAATAGCGATAGCATACAGTTCGTGATTTCATCAGATAGCTATAGGCGCCAATAGGATCGATAACGTCAATCTTCTTCAATGTCTGATATATGACGTCTGTTTTCAGTGAAACGTTCTTCTGTGCCTAGCACCGCGAAATACTGTACCAAGGCGTAAATTCCTAGCGAACTTCTCTCCAAATTTATAACCGATGTATTTTCAATAAATCGATCAAGTAATTAACATCTGATCAGCAATTTTTTAATTTTTTTCACGACCTGACATTTTAATTTCTTCAGTTCTTAAATTTATTATTACTAGCTATAAATGGAAAATGACGAATGCAAAGTTGTAAAAGAAGAATAAATCTTTCAAATAGCGTAAATCATTAACAATAATACGAACAATATCCGAGGCAAACCGAATCGCTGCGGACCTATTCCTTAATCCAATATTTATGTCCGAGGACCGAGCAAATATAACTGGGATAAGCGACCTTCCGAGGAGGTACTGTGTACCAGGGTATCCAAGGATGAAAATCCTTCAAGCATCCGAGCTGTGGCCAGCAGGACAAATCAAAGTCAATTCCAGTTGGTAAGTTTAACTTCGACAGAACTGGATCGCCTGGTCTAATTGCCAGCGTGAGTGGTTACGTGGCAAGAGCCAAAGTTCGTCCTCAATCTCTTTCCCTCCCCGGGCTTTCTACGACCCCTTATCCGTCTTTGCCTTTTTCTTTATCTATTTCTATTTCTCTGCATCCTTCGCCCTGTCTCTCCTGCATCCCACCGACTTCCCCGCGTCTTTCTGACACGCTCGGCTCCCCAATTCCTCTGTGAATTCCTCAACAGAACGAAGCTTGCTCTCTGTTCGTCGTCTATACATTCTGGCACGAAGTTAACGCGGGAGTTCGCGTCGAAGACCATGATTCCAAGGAAATACCTTTAAGGCACTAGCGTTTTGATGAACCTTCCTTCGAATGGAGTTACATTCCAGACGATTCGCTGCGCGTTGATTTCATTAGGTTAATCTGATTCCTCCTTGGCTCGCGACCCATCGAACCGGGATTCTTTGGGCCTCGCAATCGACTTTAGAGGCTTTCTATTGTAGGAATTTTGAGTTAGGATCGGCCAAAAAGTATATCACAAATTTTCTTAGAGGATAAAACATTTTGGACTGAACTGTTTTAAAACAATATCAAAGTAGATGCTTATATGCAATTGCATTACACGAGTGTTTCAAATTTGAAGATTTAATGCGAGTTTCGCAAGCTTGATGAAAATTGAACGAAGACCCGCCTTTTAAGACCACATTAAATTTAATCGTCAAAAGATTTAATAGATCGACCAAGTTTGGGAAACGGATGTCGTGGCATAGTGGTTCCTTGAACTTCCTTTGGATTAAGTATAATGACGATGGAAAGGCTCGTAGACTCCCAAGAACCTGGATATTTTAGGCGCACCAATGCAAGACTCCACAGGAATTTCCAAGATTAATCTCACGGTATTCGAGACGTTGTCCCCATAAAGAGATTGTCACGTTCTTTTAACGTTAGACAGGCTTCGAGAGAATCCTTTGTAGAACATCGAATTGTCTTGAGCACGAGTCTTTCTGACAAATTGCAATTAAAACGTTTTGCACGAATAGCTCTTCACGTGAGGAAATAATAAATCTAATAAACGGAGGATAAAATACTTCAAGATATTTATGGACTAGGGATCGCTTCGGACTCTGTTCGTTGGGAGCAGAAATTAAGCAGTAATATTTAATCGATAGAACTGCAGAAAGAAGGATCAGTGTTCACCTCTTCTATTGTTTAAAATTCTAAAAATTCAATGAACTATATTTCAGAAGTAATAGTTTTATGCTTGACATTTATTACACAAATTGGAGCCAACCAAATAATTGTTTGCTGCAAAGTAAATATATAACAAGGAATTTTCCTGGTCTATCGTTCTTACTGCCAAGAAAAATATCTTTTGGCTTTGAGTATTATTTTATCTTCAGCAGTTGACCTGCAATGGAGTATACAATAATTTGTTTCTTGCGTTTAATGGCGAATAATTATTCCAATCTAAATACATAATTGCAATCGAGTTTAACGCAATAAATTTAAAAAAACGGCTGAAACAAAGATGAATATGAAAACCTCTTTTGCCCGACCTCGTTTAGCAACCTACTTCCAGCGAAACAGAAACATCACACTTTTTTTCAATGAAATAAATTGAATTCACGAGGCATTAAGTATCATCGTTCCATTGGAACGAACTTGGAAACGTAAACAAATTTAATTAAATCCTTTATCGCGATAAAAGCGCCGGTTGTTATCAAACGTTGGGCGATCAAGTTGCGTTAAAGGGGAAGTATCAGTTTCGTAAACAGGAAAAAATTCAAAAGCCTGCAAGCGTACAGTTACAGTTGCTCTTGTTAGTACGGTTACAAAAGTTAGAAAGGTAGCAAGCATCCGCATGAAACATTATATAGGGGACTATTGAAGTTTTCTCTCATCCTGGAGCGATCGTTTTATTCAAACCTCCGTTTCATCGAAACTTCACAGATTTGTGGAACAGTTACAAATAAACAATGGACATCTTTTTTTTTTTTATCAGCCATTCCACAAATCTGCAAATTTGCATTAAAATCGACTAGTTTGGATAGTCCCTTGTTAGATTCACTCTCCATCAGGGACGAAATTCTTTCGAACAGATTCTGCCAGGATGCAACATCGAACTTCGTATCTCGTTAGCGGGCACCCAGTAACTCGGTATTAATTCAATCGGGGTTAGTCGTGGTGCTACTTGCGGAACAAATAATTAGTTAGTTCACAGTATTGTCAGTAAAGTTTTCAACGAAATTCAGTTTCGTCTTGCAACTCACGTCTATCTTATTAGGGTCAATATCCCCCAAACCGATCAAATCGGTATCGCCAAAACCGGCCAAATCGATATCAGAACTGGAATCGCCTGATCCGTAGTCCTCGTCCGTCGTATTGAACTATAAAAGAAATTTCGCATTAGCGTCTCGGCTGTTGTGGGTGAGTTTATAGTTGGGATTAATTTTCTTCTCCTCGGGGATCCATTGCTACGTTCGTCGTCTGCGTCGAAACGTGACGATGACATTTATATTCTGCTTATGGATAACGCTGATTAGTTATCGCTTTAGTTAGTGCTTTTGTTTTCCTTAGCTTCTTCGGAAGAAATAACCACTGCACTCGAATGATTAAAAACATCCAATCGATTGGAGTAAAGTGACGTCTCGAGGATACTCTGAGGTACACGTGGGAGATTGAAA